AACTTTGAGTCAACATACGATCAACTTAAAGCTGTAGAACAGGCAAAATCAGAAGATCTTATTTGGATCCTTTGTCGACACTTCTCATCTGAAAGCCAAATTGTACCAGGATGGGCCGGCTGGGTCTCACTGACAGGACTTACATCAAGTGAAAGCCCAAGAAACTCAACAATAGAGTATCTTCCACCCATTATGTCTGCCATCACAGAGAATGCCACAGTGTATGAGTGCATAAAGATTGCACTGGATGGAACAAGGGAGGTTGGTCAGAGCTACCCTATCATAACTATGGACCTTGCAGCAGCAAAGAAGGCTCTTAACATAGTGTGGCAAACACCCCAGTTCAGTTCAGCCATTGTTCTACTTGGCGGGTTTCACCTTGTTTGTGCCTATTTATCAGCCCTGGGCAAATTCATCACTCATTCAGGTTTTGAAGAGGTGCTGCTTCAGTCAGAGATTTGTGCAAGTGGCTCCATTGATTCTGTAATGAAGGGAAAACATTACAACCGTGCCATGTCTGTTCACAAGTCTGTATATGAAGCCATAATGAGGCTTCTTCTGAACCAGTTCTTTGAACAATACAATTTATCTGGTGATGTTAGAACTGTACTCCAGACTCTATCTTCAACAATATCCAGGGAGCAACTCATGGAAACCTTAGAAAAGCAAGATGTTAAAACACTTCTAGAAAACCTCAATATCTTCATGACCAACATTAGAACCGGAAAGGCAGGGAAGACACAGCAGTTCTGGTTACAGTATGCAGATTGTGTCTCAAACCTTCTGCTGTTTATACGCGCCACAAAAGAGAACAACTTAGATCTTCATGTGGCATCTTACCAACCGCTTCTTGACACATTCTTTGCCTTTGACCACCACAACTATTCAAGGTTTGCCACATTTCAATATCTCACCCTGCTAAACATAGAAACAACTCACCCTGGAGCTGAGGAACTACTCAGAAAGAATGGCCTATCCGTAGGAAAGTCAGATGTCCCATGTAGCAGGAATATGGTGGATATTACCATTGAGCAGACCATAAACTGCACTGCCAAGACAAAAGGAGGGATAATAGGCTTCAGTAAAAACATAGGGGCTTATAGAAGATGGTGTGTGTCCAGGAGCGAGCGAGCATCCTTCACCGAATCAACTCTAGAGTGGACAGGCCTAAGTGGTGATTCAGATGAAACTACCCATAGAGATCTCACAGTATCAAATACAAAGTCTTCTGAAGAGAAAGTCAAGACTGTGATGACTGCAATTGAAAGTATGATTAATCCATTTACTTTCAAGACTCCACATTTGGTATCAATTTCATCTGGTGTAAGTGCACCGAATGAAGTTCAAGACCTTGTCACAGCCCTTGAGAGAGGATGTAAGGCCAAAGAAGAATTCATAAAAACAAGACTGAAAGAATGTACAACAGATTTTTACGCTAGCAGCAAGAAACTGAAAGTCCCAACCTTCAAATCAGCAGCTGTAAAAACCAAACTGACAACATCTGACAATAAGAAACTTGAACTGAGTGCATCACGAAATCTGTTTGGACAATTACTCAACCTAACACAGAATTATAATCTTGATATTGAAAAGATGTTTACATACTCTCTTAGTCCAGTACCTTGGTCTCTGTCCCATCCTGATGGCTCTCTAGTAAAAACACCCAAAAGTGTGCTAGCCAGAGAACTAGAGAAAAATGTACCAGTTCTTCCTAATGTACCAGCTGATGCTGCACACATCATTGATGGAAATATGCTCTTCCACCAGATAGATACACCTCCCCCAACATTTGGTGAATTGGCCCAACATCTGTTCCACATGCTTCCAAAGAATTCAACTGTCCATTTTTGCACAGATTCCTACAAGGAAGAATCAATCAAAGATATAGAGAGACACAGAAGAGGTAGATCACAACATACAATTCTTGGGGGACCGAACACTAAAACTCCTAAGTCGTGGAAGGAGTTTTTACGACATTCACAAAATAAGGAAAACCTCATTACCTTTCTCCTTGAACAGTGGAAAACATATGCCAAAAGAATAGAAGGGAGGAAACTGTATTTCAGTGATAGAGGTGTGGTCCATCTTCTGACCTCAGATGGAACAAAAGTAAGAACAGTTGAAGTCGAAGAGTTACAGAGTACACACGAGGAAGCTGACACAAAGATGATATTACATATGATGTTTCAAGCAAAAGAGGAAAACAGGCCTATCGTGGTACGCTCAGTAGACACTGATGTCTTTCTGATTTTGATCCACTTTTCCAAGATGATCGATCACAAAGTAATCTTTGATACAGGAAGTGGGGACAAGCGCAGATTATTATATATGCATGACGTAGCTGCAAACTTAGGTGATGAACTCTGTGAAGCAATATTAGCTTTCCATGCGTTTACAGGTTCAGATTCTACAAGTGCCTTTCTCAAGAAGGGAAAACTCAACCCACTAAAACTGATGAAGAAGGACAAACAATTTTTGAAATTGTTTTCCTCATTGGGAAACAGCTTAGATATCAACGAAGACATTTTCAGCAAAGTTGAGGCATTCACCTGCAAACTATACAACCGCCTCACCAATATAACTGACATCAACAGATTGAGATATGACCTATTCGAAACACGATTTTCTTCAACACATGATACAGTGGTTAGTTTTGAGGGTGTGGATCTCTCTACTCTTCCCCCATGCAAAGACAGCCTAGAGCAACATGTGAAAAGAGTAAACTATCAAACATACATCTGGAAAAATTCACATCAACCCAAACCAAATGTTCCCAGCCCAACACTTCATGGATGGGCCAAATCTGATGATCAAACATTAACACCACTATGGTCCAAAGAATGTTTCCTACCAATTGAAATCATTGACATTTTGCAAAAGGAGGTCTTCGAAAATGATGATGATGATAATGATGAGTAAAAATGTGAGTGCATTATAAGACCTTATCATCCCATAATAGAAGTTCTCATATACATGTATTATGTTTAACCATAAATTCTTTTACAAATTTTCACACTGCAAATAAAATAGACTATGATGAGTAAAGATGAAAGTGCATAAGAGCCCTATCCTACCATAATAGAAGTTCTTATATGCAATGTATAATCATTATAAACCTTACAAATTCTCAAACTGCTAATAAAATAGAAAAAAGCTATTTTATCTTTTCTTTCAGTGTATTAAGAGTTATTTGAATGAAAGGTTAATTTGAAAACTTATATTACCATAGGAAGCAACTAATGATGTATCAAGTCATAAAATGCAGTACAAGATTGACCATTAATACATATCTGAAAGATAATATCTATTTATTATTTATTTTTAAGTAATAATAGCGATTCAATGGGGGGGGGGGGTAAATTTTAATAACAATCTGGTTAACATGGCAACCAATCACATACCAAGTCCCAACATCTAATACAATACCCAAAATCAATCATTCTCTGAGATCTGAAAATATGAGATCTGTATCTGCCTTAATTCAAAAGTTATAGCATCCATCCAATGCTAGGGTCCGAGTAGGTGAAATAGACCCCTGTGTAATTCACGGACCCAAAGGAAACCAAAATCTGAGATTTAATGCATTAATCTATACTCAGAATTATTGGTTATGGTTTTTAGATGTTTTCTATGCACATTTTGTACCTTCCCTCCAAATCAGAGACTTAATATAAGCTCATTTTCTTTGTCCTACCTGAAAAAATGCCCTGAAAATTGAGGTGCGCAAGGTATGTTTTATCCGTTTCCATAGCAACCAACAAAGCGTCAGGCATGAAATTTTTATGACACATCAAGCTACCCCATACCAACATACCCTGGTAATATGGATCCATTCCACAAAGTATTCTTGGAGTTGTAGACCAATTTCATAGTAGGGGTCCAAATTGCAGCCCATGGGGGGTAAAATGGCTATAAAATCTAAAAGCTGAAAAACCAAGGTCCAATAATTCATAGAAACATGTAAAAACATACTAGTAACACAAAAAAATATGTCTCATAAAATCCCTCCGGACGCACGCTCAAACCCACATTCTGACTGCACTATTGTTTTTCATAATAGATTGTAAAATAACTCAGTTGGGCAAGGAGTATTATGGGACGTCATCAACAACAGCATCTGGAAGAAGTTGCCAACGATGGGACATGCAGTCTCCACATTCTCATACAAGATATGACCCCGCGGATTTTCCGGATGATACGCTTCAGGAAGCGGGAAATTCTTGCAGGAATCCAGATAACAAGCTTGATGGACCATGGTGTTTTACTACTGACCCAGGGATGAGGTGGGAGTCCTGTAACATACAATTTTGTGGTGAGTTTTGTATAATGTGTAAATATGCAATTAGAGAAATGGACTGATTGTCATACTCCATATGTCACCTTTTAGATATATAGAGATTATCCTATATGAGGTTCAGGATATTGGGATTATCCCGAGGCAAATATAATATATTTGCCCGAGGGCCGCAGGTCCCGAGGGAAAATATATTATATTGGCCAAGGGATAATCCCAATATTTTGAACCGACTATAGGATAATATGTTTATCCCATACCAATCTTGGTCATCTGGTTCACATTGTTCAATTTTCTCGAATTTTTTGATTGATTAAGTGGATGCTCCTTCCCTTTTTTAAACCATCAAACAGATCCCGATAGTCTGTGTTTTCTCCATTGTCGTTTACAGTCATTACGCGAACGTAACAAATTATGAACAAATATGCGAGCGGCGATTATGACGTAGCGGGCAGATATACTATATCTGCCCGCTCGGAGCGGGACGTAAAGCTATATCTGCCCGCTGATGAAAATATAAGATTTTACAAACCGGCTTTATGTACCTGTAACACGTCCAAGTATGGGATAAATACATGTATGCCTTCGATTTTAATCTTTACAAATAAAATTTGAGGAAACCATGACTGTTGCAGAATGCAAAGTATCGACCAGTGGTGAAGACTACAGGGGAAGGAGAGACCATGCTGTTGTAGGACTGAAATGCCAGAGATGGGATTCTCAAACTCCTCATTCCCATCCATACGTCGATCCTGCTCTGTTTCCGGACAGAACTTTAGGAGAAGCTTCAAACTACTGTCGAAATCCTAACAACGATCAGAATGGGCCTTGGTGCTATACCATAGATTCGCTCCTAATCAAAGAATATTGTGATATACCATTTTGTGGTAAGTAGAAACACAAAACATATGATAAATATTTTGTGCGTATGGTGCATACAAGTATATAACAAACACCTACATGTAGTTGATACAAAGAAAAACGATCGTGTCAAGTTTCAGAGTTTAGAGTACACTATTGCCATTTCTTATTTTTCAGACAAATATGCCACATCACCATCGCCTTCAACAAGTAAGTGCATTCTGAAAATATTTAAATCCTTCATTTGACTTGTTCTAGATTTCCATTAAGATAAAACAATTTTTATACTGTATTTATATGTGTATATTCCATCAGGTAGGGTTTCAAAATACAGTATTGTTATCATCTTATTTGTTGATTCCAGCACCATCGTATAGTACACCAGTTCCTACTGGAACAACCGGATCCATTCAAACCAAATGTAAGTGTAATTTGGATGTTTTTATACCGAAGTATTTGTGCTACTTCATCATTTGGTCCGCCTCATATTGCTACTTGGCACGAAGTCATGATAGTATAGAAACCACCTTATAAACAAAATATAATTGAAAAAAACTATTCATCATCGGTAAGAAGAGCATTAGAATTGATCAATAAAATATATATATATATTTAATATATGTTTTTATTAGTATAGCTACAAATCTTTTCAAAACGCCAACTTTCAATTTATAATACATGTACTTTTAACTTATAGTTACATGTATATAAATAACATGAGTTATGCTTTCAATTATGAACGAACTCTCTCCCGCTATATGTAATGAGATACATGTAGTTACGTTACCCATTGTGTTTTTAGATGGGCCCTATTACATTGAATCCTTAAATCTCCCATCGTACAATTTTGGTTTTGGAAATACTAGCGAATTGGTATTAACATTGATGGGGCATATGTTCTACGTGTACAGCCCAGGATTAACAAATGCCACTGGAACAGCATCCATCGAATCAGCCGAGGCGGCTGGTTATTTCATACGCCACTACGGAGACCGCTTAAATCTCGAACAAGTGACTGATCCCCGAGAAGAGAATATGTTTAGGATGGATGCAACGTTCTATATCAACATGGCCGACTGGGCCGATGGGTATATCACTCTCGAAAGTATCAACTTTGCCGGGTTTTACCTTCGTCATCGTGGATTATCTATGAAATTGGATAAATATGAGGAAACCAGTTTCTTCAGGAAAGATGCAAGCTACAAACTTGTCAGAGGTAATTATGTCAAACACTCTTCATTTTTAAACTTCTATGCAACATGACGGCAGACTAGCTAAGTGATCATCATTGTATTGTTAAGTTAAGCCTCTTGTATCATATTGTATGGTGATTTCGTATAGCCTCCTATCCCCTCAACAAATGTTGATGTAAAATTTAGTTCAGCTATTACTGCGAGATCTCACAATTTTAGTCTGCTGATGCAAATTGTCGTTCTTGCTTGCATTTAAGTGTTAATTTGATGTTTTTCAACGTTATCTGGTTCATTTTTTAGAATGCAAGACCACGTTGAAGGGAGAAAGTTACATGGGGAAGACTTTCAAAACAAAAGGTGGTATTAACTGTCAAAGATGGGACCAACAGTCACCTCATAATCATGTCATCGGTAAGATTTGTTTTGATATAATAAAGTAGAAGTTGTCTTGAAATATTTGAAAAAAATCCAAACTTGATCTCAGGAAAATGCTTGCTACAGAAATTATACGGTATATCAACATGAGCGACGTCTGCTTCTTTCGTTGACAAATATCGGCATTTGTTCTACACGGCATGAACCTCCAAAATTATGTTCATTATAGGTATTACAAATGATGAATTCCCTGATGATACTGTGGCCGATGCTGGATCATACTGTAGAAACCCCGTGGGCTACCACAGTGGCGGACCATGGTGCTACACAAGCAATAAACTAGTGCGATTTGACTATTGCAATGTATCTCTTTGTGGTAAGTTTCTGATAAAAATAATTGCAATAATTAATGCTGTTGTTTATGAGAGTTATTCTTGGAGGATCTGCTAATGTGATTTCATTAGTAGACCAGAGTCGGATGACATTGTACACGTTTGAGAACATAAACTGTGCTTCACAACAAAATAGCCAATTGTCGTTATATACACCTTAATTTGAGTACTTCCGAAAGCCATACTATGTTTGATCGCATGTATATATACTTCATTGCTTAGATTGCAAGACTACTGATAAGGGTGAAACATACATGGCCTACACAAATACAACACTATCCGGTAAGACGTGTCAGCGATGGGATTCCCAAACCCCACATTCGCATGATCAAACAGATGCAAGTAAATTCCCAGATAGAACCATATTCGAGGCTTCCAACTACTGCCGTAATCCAGACGGGAAACAGCCTGGTCCATGGTGTTTCACAACTGATAATTCCACGAGATGGGAGTTCTGTAACATACCATATTGCGGTATGTGACGCATATTCTCTTTCTAGCTGGTTCTCTTGGCGCAATCAATAAATCACAAAAAATGTTGAGATTATGTAATACTAATGAATTTATTTCATTAATATACCAATTACAGTGTTACATTTTGCAAATCATTGTGTGTTTTAGATATTACTATACCTAAAAATGGATCTAGCACTACGCCACCACCGACTCCAACTGGATGCCCGACATCTATCGGCAGACGTCCAACCGACTTACCAAACATCGGGTCTACGTACTTACACTTAATGGTCAGCATGAGTTTTCCATGTGATACTGCCATCACACGTGTTGACTACTTCCGGTCTAATCCTAATACCCCAGTGTTTGTTTCAATATGGCGAAGGAGGACAACTTTTAAGTTTACATTAGTTTCTAGAGTTGAGCTACCAGCAAGTCAAACAGGGCAAACAACAGTGAATATCGATACACCAATGCAAGTCCGACAGGGGGATCTAGTAGGGGTACACTACAACAGGTCAGTCCTGATTTGACTTTACATAGTTCACATGTGCATACTAGTTAAAACCACTTATGACTGAACAAATGCCTTTACAAAGTAGTTGTCTTTGTATTTTGATTCGAAAATATGATATGGATTAAATGATTAAATGGTGAGACCTGATTTAAGAATGTTATCTTAGGCATAGATCAGCAATTTTTATTTTGCTTTAAAGGGCTGCTATATCATCAGCTATTCCTCTGTCAAATGGAAACGACGGCGTTGTCAAAGAAGAAGAACTCTACGATGTGCTATTGGTAAATGAGTATAATGAAGACTTCACTATCGGACAAGACATAACAATTCAGATGGTTGTTTTTCGGCCGATTGTTTATGCCCTAATGTTGTATTTGTCAGATGGTAGCAGTTTGACTACCACTCCTATGCTGTCAACAATAACATATCCGCCAAAACCTGCAGTACTCAGAAGTAAGAGATTACTACGCCTAGTATTTATGGTACCTATTCAGTAACCGACACGTTGATAATCTGTCAACTGTAATGGAAGATTGACGTTTTTGGGTAATGCAGGTCATTGAAATGACAACAATTCTGTGTATACTCTATTACAACAACCGAAGTATATGGAATCAACAAGTATTATTTGAATCGTCCATCTCATTTAAGAAGCGTGTCATTAAAATGTCTTGTTTCCATTATTTCTGTGTTTTTTTTGTAGGATATGGGCCATATTTCATCACGTCTTTTAACCTCCCTGATTACGACATCACGTTCGACCAAACCGGGAATATGACTGCATTCCTCACATCTCCATACGGCTCCCGATTTTACATGATTGTCCCTGGCTTATCAAAACGTCCAGGAACCGTGTCACTGGAAGCTGTAGGGTCCACTGGATATTACCTTAAGAGTAACGTTGATGATACAGTTTCTGTACAGCCATATTTTATTGGAGATGAAACCTTTCAAAAAGAGGCCTCTTTCGTAAAGGGTGAAATAACGTGGTTTGATCGCTACACTGTATTCGAGAGTTCAACGAAATCTGGGCATTATCTGGTACATGAAAGAACAGCACTACGTATGGCGAAGTACATTGATAATGTCCGATTTCAAGAAAATGCTAGTTTTGCTGTGACGAGAGGTAGGCCTATAATTATTATTTTCAAATGGCATTCAGTCACTTGCTTTCTCTAGTTTTATGCAATTTAGCATTACTCGTAGTTATGGGTGTGCAATTGGTACTAGACTTGCCCAAGTCGGTCTCTTTTACTTATCTTGATTTCTAAATTATATATCAAGATAAGATAAGTAAAAATACCAACTTGGGCAAGGCTAAATTGGTATATATCCATTGAGAATAATATTTTTAGTGGATACTTATCTCGGTTGCCTTATCGTTTACATCTCATTCACTCTTTAACATATTTTACATTTAATATTTTGATGTTAAAGATTGCAGACGGACGGTGATAGGAAAGAAATATGACGGTAAGACAAATAGAGATATGTATGGAAAACCTTGTCAGCGATGGGACACAAAAACACCAAATGATCACGAGGACTTTAACCCAGATGACTTCCCAGAAGGAAATATCACAGCAGCCGGTAACAAGTGTCGAAACCCTACGAATATGCCAGGGGGACCATTCTGTTATACCAATGATAGCAGCTCAATATGGAACTACTGTAGCATACCAGGATGCGGTGAGTCTAACGACTTCATACCAGTTATTGAGCGCAGAATTCGAAAAACAGGCCTAGCTAATCCAAAGACTCTTTTTTGACAGATCGATGTATGGGTCTGTTTTCGAGTCTGGTAAAAAAACTGAATATATAGGTTTTGCTCACCAAAAACAAAACAATACTGGTAAAATACTTAATATATAGGTTTTGCTCGCCAAAAACAAGACAATACTGTGCAGTAAAATGCAATACAATTGAATACAATACAATACAATACAATACAATACAATACAATGCAATACAATAGGCCATTGTTCAATTCATTTCATATTTTATTTCAGTATATTTCATTTAAAATAGACTGAATATATTAGTCATTTCGGCAGAGTACATGCTGTTTATTGATTCTTAAAAATATATTTCAGAGTGCAAAGAGGATGTTAAAGGATTGAATTACTTAGGAAGGACATATTTTACTAAATCTGGCATAACATGTCAGCGTTGGGATTCTCAATATCCCCATCCCCATCCTAACACGGACTCGGGGCTTTTCCCAGAAGACACTTTATACGATACCATGAACTACTGTAGGAATCCAGATGGCGACAATGGTGGCCCTTGGTGTTACACAAGCGACCCAAATATAAGATGGGAGTACTGCGAATTGGAAATGTGTGGTAAAGGCTATGCGATAGAATAGTCCATTAAACAAATAAAAACCTTTTGACATCAGTGAGATATATTTTATTAGATTGATGGATAGGTTATATGATTTACATGTATAATGTATACATTTTTGACATTTTAGAGTACTTTTTTAGATGGACAGTCCACAACTACTCCACCACCTGAATTGTCAACTACCTCAAACCCTGGTGCCGAATGCCCCGTAAGAGTGGGTCCTGAAATCAAAGACCTTCCTAGAAATCTCGGTAACAATGCCTACCTCATTCAAGAGCTAACGTTCCCATGTGACGGTCGCATAGAGGCATGGGGGTACTTTCGAGCGAACCCCAATGGTACGGTCTACATAGACGTATGGCGATACCGCAGCAAAGACCGGTTTACTCTCGTCCATAAGACTGCTGTTCCACCAGCAGAATCTGGCATACAATTTGTACCTTTGGCTCAGCACATTCCCGTTAGACAAGGAGATTTCATAGGTAATATTGTTCACACATAGCCAATCCCTAAGGCAGTTGTTTTTAATGCCAATTCAGCCCACTTGCTATACTAGATCTGATTCTTCCGTTCATAAGTGAAACCAGTGATGTCCGTTTAGGTATTCTCCTCTTAACTGATTTATATAATTGTGTTCCTGCACAATTATGTAAAGGCTATATGAGCTTGTTATTGTACTTATCAAAAAACGTGTTACATGAAGAAGTTGAACAGAAGTTCTTGAAATAAGTTCTTTGAAATGTTCAAAGGTTTGACGGGGGAGCTCATTTATACGGATGTCATTTGTTTTTCCAATTAAACAGATTAGTATATTTTTGTTTCTCCTAAAATCAAAATTCAAAATAAATAGAAGATTATGAGAACTTGTTATAAATTATTGAGTTATTTAATTTCCAATTGACTTTTTAAATTAGAAAAAAAGTTAATCAACGTTTCATAATACGATAGAGAAGATTTCCTGATGACACTCTTGTCATACTTGTTATAGACGACCAATAGTGTATTACAAATGCAGCGAAATTAGCATTCACGGGTGATTCTTATAAATAAAAGCGTAGGTCCAATCAAGCATTAAAGCATTAGAAGTGTATGTCATTGCAGCTTTTGAACTGAGAAAATAATCAAGAAATATTAGTTATACATACTGCAGGGCCTGTTGTAGATGTAACCGATTCAGGAACATGGATATCATTAAGTTAACAGTCGGTTGTCATCTGATAAGGCTCATCAGAAATTCATAAATCACCCTGTCTTAATTAAAATGTAACATTTTTAGTAATGGCTTCCCCTTGGGATTTGTATATTGCTTGTCTCGCGTTCACTTTGGCCTTCATGAATGAAGCAATTGATTCACGAGATCAACAACTCGACACCAGGGCTATTATTTTAGAATATTTGGATTTATGATCAAATGTTTTATTCCATTTATCTTGTCAACAAAAACAGAAAGGAGCAAGGGAAAATTGGATCGAACTCCAGTTTGTGCTGTCTAAGACGTTATTTAACTACAATTAATTTCAAACATCAAACTCTCCGATGTACACAAGTAGTAAGAGGGGAATATTATTTAATTTTGAATATTTTAACAGGAATTCATTATACAAGAAATGCATCAGCCGCAGTTGGAATCATACCGTATGCCAGTGAAGGAGACACGGTACCCCAACGCTTGTACAATACGCGCATTATAAAAATGTATAATGATGAAACTTCAGAGGGGGCTATAGTGGACGCATCAAAAGGAATAATGCGTCAGATGCTTTTCTCGGTTATGGCCCTTATGCAAAGTAAGTGTTTCACCAAATTCGTTAACTATTTTCACTGTAGGTATATACGCATTCGTTATGGATGTCCATGCATGACTGGATATTTGCGTTATACTCGTATAGTATGCAATATGTTTAATATAATTTATTTATGTGTAACAATCATTTTGATATAAAATAGGCCTACATCATTTTAAGACAATTTTAATACATTGCTTTGAGCCGATGGCTGTTTATGAGACACCCGTTTAATTCATATTTTGATAACATTAGATTACTAAAAATACATAATATATAATTGAAAAACAAGGATAAACATCATGAACACTGAGTCCATTGTTTATTTCTAAATTGAACAACGCTTATATAGAGATGGGACGAGCATTACAAATGCGCATTTCATTTGGACAATAAACGCGATTGCTTTTGATTAAATGATAGTAATATTATCATATGAATGCGTATTATGGAATATCATGACGATTTGGCAGTTGGAAGAACTCCCCATGCAATATTGAAAATCCCAATGACTTTTGATTTTATATCTCAATTAATACATTAAATGGTCACTGTTTCATGCGTTATTTGTATTTTAATCCGCAAAGCACTCATACAATGCGTCTATCCAATGTTCTTGCAGAACCAAAGATTCAGATGCAGGTCAATACAACAAATTAATTGCTTTGTCAAGATATTCCTGTTAACGCTAATTTCCCTTGCGTACATACCCAATCAAAAATACGTTTGATCCTTCAGACAATTGCGTTGATTAATACCATATCAATCATCTCAAATACAATGCTGGTATGTAGTAATCTCCGAAATTAATTTTAGATTTACAAGTTATAGAATTTGATGTTTAACGTTTACTTTATTTCAGTGAACTTTTATTCTACACCGTCTATGGCGACCCCTGTAACAGTTTTGCCAGGTGATTATATAACATATATTTACCCCATACAAAGACAAACTCTATGTATGCCATATGTACAATATTCAAAAACATGCTTCGAATACATTTTTGATAACCCACAATTGAATTACTAAGTGTTTGCTATGGGCTGGTTTGAACATCAATCTACAGCATACTTACTTTTCGAATATGATGCCCATATGAAAGTAAATATGCCAGATATCAAAGATGTATCAGATACATTTGCTGTGGTATCGTTGAGAGTATGGTAAATACTATTGGGTCTGTAATTTGACTTGATTTTAAATTGCAGTATTGACATCCTTATATCTTTATGATTGATTGTCTTTTTATTGGATCCTGACTTTAGGAAAAGGACCATACTATTTCGAATGCAAGGGCCGACCTGGGTATTATATTGGTTTTAATGGACAGCTAGAAGCCACAACAGTTCCCGAGAGGCATAAAAAGCTACTGTACGCAATTCAACCTGGTATTACTGGGCAGCCAACCTCAATATCTCTAGAATCATCCGACTTCCCTGGATATTTTCTTCGCCATGACGGTTTCAAAATCATATTAGAGAACCCTGGTACAAATACAGGAAGTTTTGATAAAGACGCAACGTTCTGGGTCAAACGTGGTCTTTGGTTTCCGTCACATGTCACTTTTGAATCAGTGAATTTCCCAAATCATTTCATACAGAACTCCAATGGTAAGCTGAAGTTATCTCCATTCGATGGAACAGATGACTACAAAGCAAATGCAAGTTTCTCATTGACATCAAGTAAGTATTTTTCTCAATTTATTAATAGATAAAATCAAATCTGTCATTCAGTTTAGTTCATTCAACGCCGAAATAGTACATAGCAATTGTCGTATCGCTGTTCCCTCTTCGAAAGACGAGACGCGAAATATTTTCCTCATAAGGTCAAAATATTTCCCATGATGCAATTCGCGGAGGAACAAATTCATGATTAGTTTCAAGGAAGACAAATATACAGTAACTATGATATATGTGTGATCAGGGTTCAAAGAAAAGTGTACGTGTGTACAGGTGTATCTCATTTCCTTTACGAAACGAGCGATACCAAACATTTATAGAGACATACAGTCAGTACTATTTTGTTTATGCATTGTTTATTCTTACTTTTAAGATACTTTTTATTCATTAACATGGTAATCATGGACGAAATTTTTGTTTAGGGGATGGGGTAACACTTCCAGGTTTACTTACTACAACTGCCCCTGTTGAGCCTTCACCAATAAACACAGGTGAGTATACGTGTAACTTTGCGAGATCTTAAAACATCAAGACACATATAACTAAAGGATCGAACACACTGATTAAACAGTATGAGATTACAATGCTCTGGTTCTCATTACAAATTATCAAATGAACGATACCGATATCATGGAATATATTTACTGTAAACGCCAACATTTTTACTGACAAAAAATGTCACTATTTTGTCAATCTAAAATGTTTCATGGGCATTCGATTTCACTGTTTGAAGAAATATCCATATGGATTCAATATTTGGCTTTTACAGTATATAATGAACACTTGAACTTTGGAATTTAAAAGGTGTTAATGTATATGCTGGACATTTTTTGCAGGATGCAAATATACTCAAGTTGGATTTGAATACTTGGGCAACTTATCTATAACGACCACTGGTCTAACATGTCAAAGATGGGATAAGCAGTCTCCCCATGCACATAAGTACACAGACCCATCAAAATTCCCCGACATCACTTTAGGTGACGCACAGAATTATTGCAGGTACGATGTGTAACAATTATGAGTTTATAACTTGCTCATCACTTTAACAGGTTTGCTAACACCCGGGTGGATGCATTCAACATTTATTCGATTCTATGAAATCTGAAATAGACACATTTCCATATATCGGAAATACGAAAATGAATAAACGAAAATGATTCGAAGTTCTGTTCCTGTAGAAATCCATCCAATCATACGCCTGGTCCATGGTGTCACACAACAGACGATGATGTTAGATGGGAAAACTGTGATGTACCTTATTGTGGTAGGTGTTATTATGTCCCCACCACATAGTGTGGGGCCATATTGTCGTCCTAGGCGCGTCCGTCCGTCCGTCCGTCTGTCTGTCTGGTTGTCTGTCTGTCCGTCCGTACGTCCGGCAGTTTTCTCCAAAACCGCTACAGGTATCACCTTCAAATTTTCAGGAATAACTTGTGAGTGCATACAGATGTGGATGACAAAAAATTAACTCGATTGCTACTTCCTGTCGGCCATTTTGAGGTCAAATGCTAAAATCCTTGTCTGCAAACTTTAAGAAAAACGGCTTCACAGTTGCTTTTAAAACTTTAACATCTTGTTCAGCTCACTTCATTCTACATCTGATTAGGTTTTGGACCTGTTAGCCCGGTCATGTCAGCCATTTTGAATGTCTGAAGAAAAGTTAGCGCGCGATAATACTTTGTATCATATTGAATGGTGTTTTTGAGTTTTCATACTTTAACTATTTAGTAGCTTTATAAATAATTCTAGGTGTACTTTGTTCGAAAAGCCTATGTTATTGTTAACAGTAGTTATATGTGATAATTTTGTAAAAGGAAATCAGCAAAAACTCATAATCACTTTTTTATTCTCGGCCATTTTGTTTTTTTCCGTCCTAAAATCTTGTCTGTAAAGTCTTGTCTACACGTTTTCAGGTGAACCGTTTGGTAGATCAATTTCAAATTTTCAGGGATGAATCTAAGTATGAAAACCTAGATCTGATTAATTTTTTGGCGTTCTGGGTAAATGTCAAGGCAGCCATTTTGGATTTTCCGTCCTAAAATCTTGTCTGTAAAGTCTTGTCTACGCATTTCCAGGTGAACCGTTTGGTAGATCAATTTCAAATTTTCAGGGATGATTCTTAGTATGAAAATCTAGATCTGATTAGTTTTTTGGCGTTCTGGGTAAATGTCAAGGCAGCCACTTTGGATTTTCCGTCCTAAAATCTTGTCTGTAAAGTCTTGTTTACGCATTTCCAGGTGAACCGTTTGTTAGATCAATTTCAAATTTTCGGGGATGATTCTTAGTATGAAAACCTAGATCTGATTAGTTTTTTGGCATTCTGGGTAAATGTCAAGGCAGCCATTTTGGATTTTCTGTCCTAAAATCTTGTCTGTAAAGTCTTGTCTACGCGTTTTCAGGTGAACCGTTTGGTAGATCAATTTCAAATTTTCAGGGATGATTCTTAGTATGAAAATCTAGAACTGATTAGTTTTTTGACATTCTGGGTAAATGTCAAGGCAGCCATTTTGGATTTTCCATCCTAAAATCTTGTCTGTAAAGTCTTGTTTAACTGTTTGACGGATCAATTTCAAATTTTCAGGGGTGGTTCTTAGTATGAAAATCTAGAACTAGCTAATTTTGGGGGATTCTGGGTAAATTTTAAGGCGGCCATTTTGGACTTTCCGTCCTCAAATTGTGTCCGTAAAGTCTTGTCTACTCATTTTCAGGATAACCATTTCATGGGATCACCCATTGGTGGGGACATATTGTACACATTTGTGTTCTTGTATACAATTGTAAAGATATATGATATTTAGACAGGGGATAAAATAAATATCGTATCCTTGTTAAGGCCGCACATAACCGATTGATTTTTCAAAGCATAGACAAATATGCAAACTATGTTGATTACCACCTTCCAAAAAGATTAAGACACAACATTCGATCGAAACTCAAGTTAGGTAGGCATTTTGTCAAATAGGTTAAATATGAAGACACTGGAATGTAATTTTTGGTTGCCATAAGCTTGTTTTATGTTTCCTTTATACTTCAGATTGTCGAACAAGCAAGACTGCGAGAGAATACAATGGGGAGATTTCTAAAACAAGATCTGGAAAGACGTGTCAACGTTGGGATTCCCAGTCCCCTCATAGTCATAGTAATTACGACCCCAGTGACTTCCCGGAGCATAGGCAAGTATTTGACTAATATATACAAACTGCAGTACGTTTGAACATTCCTAAAAGAGCGATATTCTTACTAAAAAATCATAAGTTCAACCGTTTCCACTTACCAACAAATTCATCATTTCAAGTCATTAAATTAGCTATTTGCATGATATTAAATGATGGTGATAATGCATACAAAAATACTGGGATTCGAATAATACCACTTTATTTAAACTAGAACATTTCATTTTCCATGCAGCATAAGAATATCAAACGAAGTTTTACCGTAAGTATGAGAAAATTGCCTTACAAGTCAACTCTCTACTAACTACTACATGAATTGTTGAAAGCTAAATATTCGAATCATAACTGTCTTAACTGTTGACTGTTGAATGCATTGCTTGTCAAGATACTGTATTACCGGTGGATAGCTTTTATGGATCATAATGACTTCATAAAATGATTCAGAGGGAAATATTCAGGTTTCATAAGATATCATACCTTAAATGGACGCCGTTGTATTTGAATTGAATATTTACTTTATGGTCACCCTGTAATATGAGTGTTCAATGTTGTTGTTAGATTACGGAATCCTCACCATGAACCAAAAATACTTAAATATACGTTAATTATTAACGTTTTTAAATTGTGTTCTCTTGATTTCTAGTTTGTCAGATGCAAGCAATTTTTGTCGGAACCCATCATCTTACTCAGAAGGTGCTTGGTGTTATACCACAGACCCAACAGTCCGGTGGGAATTATGTGACATCCCAGTTTGCGGTACGTTAGTTCGTTAAAATGAAGATTACATATCTTCACATTATCTAGTAATGAAAAAGACATAAAATGTTGTTTTTTATTGATGATATATTATGATGTACCCTTTATTTGGCGTTGGCAGAAATGTTTGTAATCCATATGGGCATCCTTCTCCAAAAGGACTTCATTTACATGTATATTTAAATTCAGATATGTATATAAAATACCATTGAAGCAAGCATGCACATGGTACATACACTAAATGAAAAAGATTCATTAAAAATTAGGTTTGCCTTTTTACAGATTGCAAATTGTCACAGTTTGGACGAGATTTCATTGGTAGGGTATCGGTCACATCAAGTGGTAAAACATGCCAAAGATGGGACTCACAATCGCCTCACAAACATGACAAATTGGATCCAGGTTAACATTTTATTCATCTTCTATTACATATTGTATTTCAATTCAAATTTTCAACATACTGTATCATTAACAGAATCGCCTGAGTAAACTAAATTTCTTGAACTAATGGTACATGTACATGCCGACTTATGGATGGTTATCACATTTTGAATTCTTAAAGTCATGTCGTTTCTGTAAATGATCCCACGTTTAATGCAGTCTGAATCAATCTCCGTTGCTAATTGGTTAAGTGTGAATGAATGAGTGTAACATTGATTGATGCATTTATAGGCATGTTTCCCGATGACAGTGTAGCCGATGCAGGGAATTATTGTCGCAATCCTAACAACGCTCTCAAAGGCCCGTGGTGTTTCACAACCGACCCTAACACTGAAACGGAGTATTGTACCATTCTACAATGTGGTAAACTGATTTATACGTTTTGAAGGAGAAAATAATCTATGGTTTTGAAATAAATGGTTTGTACTAGAGCCATGCGATGTCTCTCAAGCCAAGGTTATGCAAGATTGAATATATCAAATACGTATCCTTGATATATAATTAAGCCAAACTGTACCCTTTAGACGCGCTTATACTTTCTGTTCATTGGAATCAACTTCTTCGATCTTCATTTAATCTGAATTTCAGATAGATTCAAAAGCTCTAGACCAAAACCAACACCGCCACCACAAAGGAAAGGTAATGTATATTTAAAGTATCGATTTAAACCATTTACATCAGATCATATGTAGCACCCTTGTTATTCATCATTAAAAGTGGTGACATATTGTTATAGTCTTCAACTTTTTGAGGTCGATGCTCGTCGGTCAGCGTTCGAAGTTCGGCGTCTGTAACGAATTGCAATTGATGACACTTTACATGTTAGTACCTTGTGTTGAAAGTCCATCTTGTATTTCATATATGTAAATAATGTTAATTAAATGATAATCATCATGTTCTATAGAGTGCAAAGGAACACTCCTTGGTAACGAATATACCGGAACAATTTCATATACCCACTCTGGTATACCTTGTCAACGCTGGGACAGCCAGACGCCCCAGCCTCATCCTCCCTATGACGACACGTTCTTCCCTGACGGTACTGTTTATGATGCAAGCAACTTCTGTCGAAATCCAACCAATCACATTACAGGACCCTGGTGTTTTACAACTGATCCTTACGTTAGATGGCAGCAGTGTAGCATTCCATATTGTGGTAAATATTTACACTTTGAAATAGTGACATAAATAGTTAAACCGACGCTTTGACATACACCACGATAATCGAATAATTCTCTTATAGTAGCCAAACCAAGCCATGCGATAGCTTGTATTCTTTATGTTATAGAATGTAAAACTGACCCCCTTGGCCTAACTTACAAGGGGCAAAGGTCGTATACCGTGGGAGGTAAAACATGTCAACGATGGGACACACAACAGCCAAATAAGTACGTAGAGACCAATTTTCCCTTAACCGTGTTCCATATCCGCGATTATAGAGACGTGTCGCAAAAAGGTGGCGCATTTGTTTTTTAAGGGTATCGCGTGAATGTAACTTTGATTCTCCGGATTATAAGATAATATTCCAATTAAAGTTATAAATCATTTTGAAGCTGTTTCGATGAAGTTTTTAGATCAACTACACTCCGTTCACAATTCTTGCGCGTTCTTTATTAAAAAAGAGTTTTTTACCAAAACATCTGGCAAATATCCCCTGTTGACACGTTACATTTTGAATTATTTTTCGTCTTTAAACGGTCATAACTCAAACGATATATGACTATTATACTTATTTTTCGTCTTGATAAAGTTTGATAGAAGTTTTATTTCAAAGGATAAATTTTAGTAAGCGTCCCATATTGTGACGTCATAGAGTTTGAAAAATAGAATCTGTTGACAGCGACCTTTTTTGCTCATTTTTTGTTACCTTCAACTTTTCAGGTGTACATTAAACAAAAAATACGAGATCAATTTTTAATAAATCATACATGATTATTTTGCTCTTAAACTCTAGTTTATTAATAGATAGTTGATTTTGTTCGCAAAAGTATGTGTTTTCTGTTTTATGTGGAAAAGTGGAGGACGAAGGGTTTTCAAAATTCATTAAAATAGGGCTTTACGCCATACGCCTATTTTCAAGCACAGCAACACGTATATTTATTTCACCTAAATATCAATTGATTCGTGTTTTATGATGCTCCTAGCCGATTAACAATATATTATATATGATATCAGAGTTATTCGTCTAAAATGTTTTGAGATATAGAGGTAAATGTGGAGGACGAAAGGATTTTCATGTGTGTACATTTTTCTCAAAAACGTCACATTCTATCATGTTAAAAGCGAGGATCCTCTGGATTACGCCACAAAATGTGTAACAATGCGTGCGCGACCTTTTCGCGACACGTCAGAGTATTCGATACTGGAGAGGTTAAGCTAACGATGTTTTTCACAACGTAACCGTGAACGCAAAGTACAAAAATTAACAAAGGAATGTATCGAGCGCTCATAGTTTTATGCGCGCTTAGTCTACTTCAGATACTCTTTCAGCTTCAGAGTTTCGGGTTTAGAACGAGAGATTTTGAAATTTGACGTTGGGTCAACGGGAACCATTTTACTCGTGTCTATTGAACACTATGCTGTCAATTTTGATTTCGATGCACAGTTGAATTCTTGCTGAACACGATGATGTATGTCATGCATGATTTAGCGCCAAAAATCTTACGAAACGAGCTCGTTTAAAATATTATTAGAAAACCAGCTATAAAACCGCATCAATGACATACAGGGTGACCGGAAAAAAGGAGACCATTGAAATAGGCAATATCTCCTAAAATAGACTAGTGACATCAATGAAATTTTGCATACATCAGGACAGTTCTATGGAAATTTGTTCCTGAAAGTGTCAATACAAGCAGTCAACTGGTTCAGGAGCTATGATCATTTACATAACATGCTCCAAATAGGCGCAATTGAGACCAACGCAGAGCTGGATACATTTGGCAAATACCCTTACATATTCCGACCTTGTTATGGCATTACATTTAGCATTTATTGCCACCTTTAGGTCAGCAATTGTCTCAGGATTGTTTTGGTACACATTGTCTTTCAAATTGCCCCACAAAAAGAAATCAGGTGGATTCAAATTTGAGGTGTATGGAGACGAAGCTTATCTGACCTATGGCTTCTGACTCAGTGGTCCCACTCAGTTACAGTATCATCCTAAGGAGGTTTTGGGCAGCCCTTGGTTTTCATATGGGATTTAATTGTGCCATATAGTGGTTTTAGTAACATGGCACTATGCCCAATACCTAAAGTGACTCTTAAGATTTGGTAAATCAGCACTTTGGCAACAGGATGATGAACCACATGTCAGATAACCCTTCATTGCCATTACAGCCTAGACTTGAATCCTGCTGATTTCTTTTTGTATGGATATTTGAAAGACAATCTATACCAAAACAATCCTCAGACTATTGTTGACCTAAAGAAGGCAATCACTGCTATATGTAATGCCATAATAATGCCATAGAGGGCAGAACATGTAAGGGTAGTTTGCCATATGAATCCAACTCTGCGTTGGTCTCAATTGTGCCTATTTGGAGCATGTTATGTAAATGATCATAGCTCCTGAACCAGTTGAATGCTTGTATTGAAACCTTCAGTAACAAATTTCCATATAACTGTTCCAGTGTATGCAAAATTTCATTGATGGCACTTGTCTAGTTTAGGAGAAATTGATTACTTCAATGGTCTCCTTTTTTCCGGTCACCCTGTACTATAGAATCATTACACGCTATGGTGTAGTCTAAACAAACACTGGATTTGAACGGCTATTTATATGAGAAGGCTACATGAATTTGTATATGGTCGAGTGATACGTACAGGTTCAGTTTCGATTATATATGCAAAGCTTAACCTCTCAACTTTCTGAAAAATGGACCGAATGTGGAAAATGGACTGAATGTACCATTGCATTGTGCCAACATTGTGAAACTCATATTTTATCAGTGCATAGCTAATCGTACAATGTGCAAAATAATGCTTTGAATGTTTCCAAAGCAAAAACCTCTTTTTAGCGTGCATTTTACTTCTATTTTTCCTTTGTTCTATTTAAATGTTTTCTTTTGTTACGATGATAGATACTTTGTCAACATTATAGGCACAACTATACTGATCCCACAAAGTACCCGGATTCAACATTGAGTGAAGCGCAAAATTTCTGCCGGAATCCAAGTGGTTTTTATGGAGGCCCATGGTGCTACACAACGGACCCTGGGACAACTTGGGACAGATGCGATATACCGTTATGTGGTACGTAGAATTGTAACAGGCGTTTCGTTACGTCAAAATCCTAAACAAAAATATCATCAAAATCCTAACAAACAACCCCAGATAGATTTAATCATCGGCTGTTTCTGTTACGTATGGTTTACAATGGCGGAATGATGAAATACTATTACCATTTGAAATCTTTTGTCTACATTGTTTAAATGTTTCAGAATGTAAGACTACCCCTCTAGGCGAAACCTACCAGGGCACTATTAGCTATACAACGTCCGGTAAATTGTGTCAGCGATGGGATATGCAGTCTCCGCATCAACATGAGTTTACAGATATTTCAAAGTATGAAATGAAATTCGTCACTTTTTTTTAAATTATACATTGTTACTCGTCCAGCTCATTCGTTGGAGAACAAGCGTTAATCAGTAAAGTGTTTAATGATTTATGCATTTATAAAAGTCATCAAAAAAAACAAATCCATCAGAAAGTGACAATTTCCTACTTGTACAGGTTCCCAGATAAGGATTTCGTCGAGTTGGAGGCCAACTGTAGAAATCCCGCTCCATATTGGTCAGAAGGGCCGTGGTGCCTTACTCAGGATCCTGACACTCGGTTTGAGAAATGTGATGTACATATGTGTCAACTACCAGTTCAACCTACACCAGGTAATAATTAGTTTTATAACATACCTATGATGATGTATAGTGCAAAGTGTACACAAGACAGCGGGCCAATATAAGTTTTGAAAAGCCCGCGCCCGCTAACTTTCTGATTGGTCAAGGCGCTGACGTCATAACCAATCAATCGAAGATAAAACTGCGCGAGCAATTTTTCTAAACTCATTTTCAAACCATTTGTTTGTCAATTCTATAAGAAAACGGTACTCTCTGACAAGTCTACATCATCATAGGTATGTTATAAATCGTTTATGTCACTATCGTGGCACATATGCCCTCAGTTCTCAGAGATCAATGTCCCTCCCAAGGTCGGGCCATATATCACTGAGACCTCGGGCATATATGCCACGATAGTGACATAACCTCTAATTATATTTACAACATGCGATTCGTCCATAGTTATAACACCTAGTAAATACTCTGAGAACCATCATCTTGAAAGCAAGTGGGAGATAGCAACGAGCCACGAACTTAAAAATTATAAATGTGTTCCTTTATATATTTCCAGTGGCTTCTTTCTACATTCTGCCACCTCTCACTTTTGTCATGAACATTGAATACCGTGTAACCGTCTGACTTACAATATACTGGATGACACAAAAAAGTGCCACCAACATAATACTGCGTGACATTTTTGTCTGCATGATTTCTGGCTTGTATTTAGCACTTTGAATGTAGACTCCATGGAGCAACTTATCAATAAGTTTCAGGTGACTGGCTGAACTTGATGCACTTTTATGAGCGTTATAAGATGTGCTTTGATTATCAGGCACATCTGGATTCCATGGGCAAAGTATTTGACGACATCAACACATTCCCTCACAGAAATGGCCCTGATCTTTCTGGTGATCTTTGTCTTCCGATATTCTATGATTTGGTGGTTTTAAATGATCCTAGATCCTTCAAGTACCCACACAGATAATAATTTGAAGAGTTTATGTCAGCTGAATGTGTTCAATAACTTTCCAAGAAGAATTTAGAAGTGCACCTGCAAAGAATGGGTGACATCTTGTAACATCTTGTAACGCTCATAAAATTGCACCCAGTTTAGACTGTCATCTGAAACTTCTGTGGAGTTGCTCCATTGAGTCTATCTAACATGTGCAAAATAACAAGGCAGGAATCATACGGTACAAAAAGGAATTTAACATTATGTGGATGGCACTTTTTGTGCCACCCTGTATTCTTCCGAACGTACGCTTTTTCATTCCATTCCTTTTTGTATACAATTTATTATACTATTCCAGCCAGCTGTCCTTCCAGGGTTGGTCGAGAACCTTCTGATCTCTCGAGACGTGGAGCAAACTTTGCACACTTAATGGTTAACAATACATTCCCGTGTGACGGTAACGTAACCAGTTGGGAATACTACCGCGCGAATTTAGACACAACAGCGTATGTAGCAGTATGGCGACCAATGACGTCAACTAAATTTATGTTGGTCAAGAAAACAATACTACCGGCAACTCCTGGTGGTCGGGTTGGCGTTCTGTTTATCACACTTCCCCAGGACCAGAAAATACCTGTAAAGGTTGGTGATTTTATCGGAGTCCACTATTCACGGTATAGTACGAATGCAGCCATCCCGAACTCAAGAGGGGGTGATGGCGATGTTTCCGATTCTGAGCTATTCAGAACAATCAATGTTGCGAGATATGACGAAGACCTCCAAGAAGGAAATGTGTTCGACTTTGCGAATGCAAATGTTGTAAAAAGTACTTATGCAATCATTGCCAATGTTGAAGGTAAGTCAAAAATGAATCGACTATAAGTTCACATTGCATCCATTCAATTGATCACCATTTCCGTTTTTTTAAGAATAAAAATTGTCTTAACTATAAAGGAAAAATACCTAAATCGTTTTCATTCTATTTTCAGTGCATGGAACAAAACCGCCCACAACTGTACAGATAACTACTCCAACTACTCCAAGTTTGACGATGCGACCAGGGGAATGTCCACCTACCGTTGGGAGGGTGCCAACAGACCTCCCGAGAAGGGGTGGAAATTGGGCGCATCTTATGATTGACAATGAATTTCTATGTAGTGGTACCGTTATTGCATGGGAATACTACAGGGATAACATGGATACGGTTGCCTACGTTGCTACTTGGAGACCTACGGCTGAGCCCTGGAAGTTCAAGTTGATCACTAAGACACCATTATCGGTTAGGTTTGGTTACTTTGGAGTTACAAAGGTTGATGTGAATATACCAGTTCAAGGGGGAGATTTTATAGGTATGGTGTATGTTTGTGTCACGTATTTGATTTCAATAGTTAACCCCTCGACTTCACAAAGCTATAAAGTGAATTTATTGGAAACATTTTCTCGGTCAACAAATCGAGGCTCATTTAAATAATTGTGGAAATAATCTACAAAAGATCCAATCACGATCAGTCAAAATCAAATGAATATCTCTACCGCTTACCTCACCTCGATTTAATATCGATACATTTTATCTTACCTCAAATAAGTACCGATACCCTTTACTTTACAGGTATCCACTACAGCTACTTCACGGGAACTCCGTGCATCCCCAACTCTCGTGGCAATGACAGTGTTGTGCCTGACAATGAACTGTATACTACGATAAATGTACCGAGATTCAATGAAGACTTCGTTGAGGGAAACATTGCTGACTTCACAGGAGTTCAACCTATCAAGAGCACCTATGCCCTCCGAGCGATTTTCAATGGTATTTATCGGTGTATTCTTCGTACTTTCTAGTTTTTGAACATCATCTTTGCATGACGTACCAACTGCATTTTAAAATGAGTTATAGTTTCATATACTTCAATACGAAATGGTTAAGTTTTGTTTCCTTTTCACATGAATTGATAATAATACCATTATCTATATAAATGTTACCTTTTCTAGCAACTGGACGAATAATTTCAACAAGAAATACTCAGCCTGCGACATCAACACCTGGTCCAATAGTTGTGCAAGGTACGTGGCATCATCGCATTACAAATACTAGAAATGTACCCGTTCGAGTGGGTCACTAAGGATTACATGGTTACAGCCCCCATAAAATGCTAAATACCTGTATATTGATCGTAATTCACCTTACTGACTGATACTAGTTGAATTGAGGTAAACTTGTCCAAAGGCCTTGCATTTGACCTCAGGTCAACTAATCAAGAGTCACCACGGGTGACGGTATCCTACAAGTGCTTAAAAGCCAAACACTTAGATATTGACCGTTGACCTTGAGATAACCTTGACCAATGTAACGTTGACCTTGACGCCAGGCTACCCAATCATAGGCCGCAAAGGGTCACAGCAGCCCACAAGGATATCAAAACGCAAAATAAAAGATACTGATCTAACACAGTAGATATTGACCTTATCAAAATACTTAGATACTGATGTAAATACCTAAATGTTGACCTTAGCAAAATACTTAGATAGATACTGATCTAAATACCTAGATATTGACCTTTTAACTAGGAAGACCTTGACTTTAAGGTTACCTAATCATGGGTTGTCGAATGTTACAACAGCCCCAAATGCTATGGTGTAAATTCTGTGTCAAAAGTTTACAGACATAATTTCGCTATTTAGGTGCACGAAAATGTCTTTATTCCAGACGCTCTAAAAGCGAACGCTCTCCATTCCTGACGCTAATGTTCTATTCCAGACGCTATTTACCTATTCCCGACGCTATCTATTCTGGACGCTCTGAAACCGAACGCTATCTATTCAGGACGCTCCATTCTAGACGCCCACTATTAAACCGGACGCTATCGATTCCAGACGCTCTATTCCGGACGCTCCATTCTGGACGCTCACTATTAAACCGGACGCTATCGATTCCAGACGCTCTATTCCGGACGCTCCATTCTGGACGCTCACTATTAAACCGGACGCTATCGATTCCAGACGCTCTATTCCGGACGCTCCATTCTAGACGCCCACTATTAAACCGGACGCTATCGATTCCAGACGCTCTATTCCAGACGCTCCATTCTGGACGCTCTATTCTGGACGCTATTTAACCGGTCGCTTTCTGCAATCAGGACGCTCTATTCTGGACGCTATTTAACCAGACGCTTGTATTCAGGAAGCTCCATTCCGGACGCTCGATGACATTAACCTTTAAAGCTCTCCATTCTTATTCTGATTGATATACCATGAACGAATTGCATTAACACCGACCTCAACATATCACAAGGGCAATACAATATCAATCACGCGCTTCTATCATATCGTAGTAAAGTTTCGAACATTTTCAAAACATGGCGTATATAAGCAGTTTTGATATTAAGTTTACGAATTTAATTTATAGATCATGACGTACAGGTATTGCATTAACACCGTCCTCAACATCTCACATCAAGAGCAATAACGTATTTAACAAGCTCATCTAACATATCATATCGTTTGCTGCGGTAGACCTTCTGATTTGTTCTGTTTAGTAACATCACATAATTGGATTAGCTCAATATATGTAAACTAGGGGTGCTAGCATATATTTGAAAATGGCTATGGTAATCATCTCAGGAAATATATGCCATTTTCCTGGGGCTAGTTTACCCACAAACGATTTATTTTGAGCAATTTAGATGCATACTCAACTATTCGACAGATATGCTACTTTCAAATTAAGAACATATATAAACATACTTTTGCTAGCTAGAGTTTCGCATCTCAATGGCCGTATAAAATGATTGAGACCGTGAAATAAGAACTAGAAAGTTATATGTTATCTCAACCTTACTCACAATCCCTCGTGTTACAGGTTCATCGCAAGACTAAAACCCAACTAACCCAATTGAAATTACATTGAATCTACACGTCGATGGGATTATAAAACAAGTCGAACTCAGGAGGAGTGAGTAGCCCGCATAATTCTTTCATATTCTATCGTATTCAGGGATTCCCCATTACATCATCTCTTGCATCATCTCCAATCAAATTGCAGGATTCGATCACGTGAACAATCATGAGCACGTGCTCTCTCAGTGCTGCGCATGCGCAAATTTAAATTTGAAATCGTGGGAATGGCGTTTACATCAGTTCAACATCATCATTTCAAACCTTCGGTAATACTATTGAAGTTACTCGATCCATACTTGTAGAGAATAGTCATAAAACTACATTCAACATTTAGAGATCCATTTCAATGTCAAATTGAGGCCTGTTTATAAAATTTGTTTTCGAACGTGCTAATATGATAGGTCATCTTTGGGAAATCTCCCCCCCCCCTGAGTCGAACTTAAAGAGTTTACATAATTTGTTGCGCGCGCATCGCACTTTACGTTCAGGTCAGGGGGGAGATCTCCCGAAGTTCAGCCTTCGTATTCGATTCGGCTTACATGACCATATACTAGGAATCAAACTGACCGTTCTCCGCTATTTTGAATATCAAGTGATAGATCCATATAAGGCTTGTATGGCCATATAGGATGGCTAAGGGGAATCCCATTCTGATACTCATAGCATCTTTCTGTTTCACTTGAAATATCTCAGGGCTGAGAAGAAATGAGATGCCATCATGGGAGCTACTCACTTCTTCTGCGTTCAGGTTTAGCTTTTCGTCGTCCAAAATGTGAATCTTATCCTCTCAACTGATGAAAATTAGGACTGCCGAGTCGTATCCATTGATCATGGGCATATTGTAGAATGAAAGCACTTTTTACCAATCTTAGTTATTATAACCCGGCCCATTTGTGAATTATAGCCTAGTTTTTGGGAGTGGTGACTTAGACAATGTCCTGAGACATCACCTGTAGTAAATACGCATATATGTCATGCTATCTGTATTAATGGTGAGAGGTCTCGTTCGGGGGGGGGGGGGCTGGGAGACAAAGTCTGGTAGCTAAGCTTCTCCTAACCACCGTCAGTACTCATGTCACAGGTAGTGTATATTTGGTAGATCCTAGGGTAATGACATTGGTGTGTTATTCCCTGTCTTCATTGTAGAGAGAGGCCGGACATCCTGATCCATAGCGGATCTTCTCCCTTATATGTTGGTCATTATAAGGGCCCAAGATGTTTCGAATTCATGGGGGTATCCCATGAGTGTTCTTCCTCAGCGGCCGAAAGAATGTTATTTGTGATTTGATTGTGAATAATGGATGCTGTTTTAGATCTATCATTCAGTTGTAATTTCCCTATTTCCCTATTCGTTTTTGGCGGGGGGGGGGGGGGTGTTTAGGCGTATTGGGTTATTGCATAAGGGCGTGGTCAGTTTATTGTTAAAGTTTGGTTTGGTTTTTGGTTAAGCCATATGGTCATGTGTGTTATGTGTTGATATTGTGTGTATTTAAAGGGTTGTTGGCTTGTTCGTGTACCGTAGTATTTTGTGGCATTTTGCGGTATTTTCAATTTGTTGAGTTGGTGTGCGTTTGGCGGTGTCTATGGTAGGTCTAAGGTGGGTAAATTGCTTTTTGGTGGTTCAGGTGATTTGTTTAATGTTTCAGCTTTCCGTTGGTATATATATTATGTTGGTAGTATATCTTGTTGTTGAGATATTAACTTCAATGTACCGTTTAGTGGTCCGTATTTAAAATATTTCGATTTTCTTGTATTTGGTTTTTATCGAATGGGTGTAATGCGTATTGGTTAATTGTATTGGGGTATGGTCAGTCAATGTTGAGATTTAATTTGGTTGTTTTGTTCATTGTTTTAGCTTCATGGTCAGGTATATTTTATGTTCATATTGTGTGTATGAGAAGAGTTGTTTACTTGTTCGTGTTTTTGGTGTTTTCCGCATGTTGCGGTATTTTCGATTTGTTTAGCTGGTGTGAGTTTGGTGGTGTCTAGGGTGGGTCTATGGTGGGTGAATTGTTTTTTTGTTGGTTCAAGTGGCTTGTTTAATACTTTAGCTTTCTGTTGGTGTGTGTATTATGTTGGTGGCATATCTTGTTGTTGAGATATTAACTTGAATGTAGGGTTTAATGGTCCGAATTTCAAATATTTTGATTTTCCCATATTTGTGTTTTATCGGGAGGGTGTATGCGTATTGGTTAATTGTGTCTGGGTGTGGTTGGTTTATTGTTTAAGTTTTAAGCCTAACTAATAAGATGTAACAAACTTCATCTGAACTGACTCACCACAACAGAAACTATAAAATATACAAAACAGGCAAGAAACACAAATTTCCGAGCAAACCATTCACTTTACAGGCATTCCCAAAAACCGGAAGCTTGTTCTCTAACGTCCGCGCAATATAATATAAAGAGGAGCGCCGAACTAAACTGCCACATTCTGAGATTTTGAGATTCAATGAACAACGAGAAACTATCTCTTCAGAACCAAAGAACAGCGCAACGCTAACGCCCATCATACCATGTGTACTTCTTACACGAGATCTCACTGTGTATGAATAGGTACAGTACAGTGTACCAAACCTATTGCATATACTAATAATGTACACAAATACATTTATATTATTGACTCTACCAAGAATTAACGAATATACCTACACCATAATACCCCTACTTGTATCTAAACTCCACGATACACCAAAATACAATTCGGCATAACCTGCTACTTAATACATAACCTATCACAACCAACCATTACAACTAAGCACAACCCATAAGATCACCAACAACGCAACACGACCAGTGTCAGAAGAATGAGAACGCAACTTAACTCACAATTACCAAGAACACAACCCACTGTCAAATTAGCACAACACAATTTGGCAAAACCACACAACAAAACTAAACTATCAAAACACAATCAGGAACAACCAAACTAAAAATCCCAACACACACAACCAGCTTTCTTGAACTAGAGATTGCAACAATCACACAACACAGCCGAACACAACCTAATACCTCACCCGACTAGGCACAACCGACCACCTATCATAACATAATCGGGCACAACTCGCCACCACCCATCATTCAACGATCAGGCACAACCAACCACACAACACAATCCAACTACAATCCAACAACACAATACGGCACAACCCAAATACTACAACCTTA